TTGGTATGCTATACCTAATCAGTCATATCTTGGCCGAGTGGACAACATCTGATAGTTTGGGAATAGCGTAAATTGACTAGCTGCATATACGAGTAGTGATCTTAGGGAAACGTTCCCATCAAAACTTTCCCTACGATCCCTGTCTGAAGTAGCCCAAACTACGAAAGTTAATTTCTTTTCCAACTTTTTGAATGTTAAAAGGAAGTAGCACCCGACGCAGTGAATGTACTGAGAAAAGTATCCTTCGTATTATATGTATTATCTTGCAGATGATCGCGAAAATCTGGTTCTCTGCTGCTTTCCATATAATCGATCACCCTCCTCTTCAACAAGTACGAAACTCTGATGGGAATCCTATCACAAACGAGTATGTATCATATGCCGAGACCACTGTCTTACGACCTAAAATATTCTATGGTTAGGCCTATAACTAAGAGTTATACAAAACCAACGACGCCATATCTCATCTCAGCCTGTTCAAAAGTGGTTTTGCCTAGTCAGACCACCTGGTTAATGATCCCTGCAAGTCCATTCCGTTTTAGGCAAATGTCTTTGTTCCAGAAGAGATTTGCCTACAACGGAATGGAAGGAAATTTATCCAGCCCTCTGAAGTCTTCGTAGAGTCAAGTGGGTGAGGTAGAGGCACGCCCAAAGACGATTGAACGGTTCGAGAATTTGGAGGCTCCAGAACGTCTTCCGAACAAATTATTGCCTTGTATGCACAAACAGAAGCAAAGACCGTAAGTTACTCGGGTAGAGTAGTAGGTCTGATGCTCTTAGCCGACAGAAAATCAAGTGGAGGTAGAATTTGTCCCAATGGTGACGCGTCTTTGGAAAGGCTCGACAAATAGTAAGACCAGGCCGAGACTGGTGGAAGGCATCCCGTTGAAGGAGGGTAGGCATTCTGCGCTATACTGTTCTGGGGGAAATGCTACAGCCATCCCTCTGTGGCGAGGAATAGACAAGATGATTTCGCCCTGCCGTTCTTGGCATTACAATACTGATTTTGGTCGCTGTCCTCGGTTAACGAAATTTCAGAATTCACGGCAGCATCGATTCGATCTGTCGCAGTCAAGGCTATCGGGGTGGCGTTTGAGGCCGAGGTACTGACTTGTCTGCCTTATGGTGTTCTTCAGAGTTGGCTCCTGCAAGCGCTATGTACCATCAAGCTAGTGGAAACGAGAACTACGGAATTTATTACAAGAGTCTCTATGGAGATGGCAGAACATGTTCAGGATAAAATAGAGATGGATAGCCTATATTTTTTTGAGCTAGACTGCTTATCGGCATTTCCCCAGGCGCCAATCGGTCTAGAAAATCGGTTTAAGTGTGTTTCATCTACGATGCACATCAGAAGCGAGGCAGGCATCTTCTGGATACGGTCGGTTCCTTGGTATAAGCATACTTGTTCAATATGTAAGAAACAACGAGTCCACCCACGAACATGGTCCCATGCACGGCTGGAATTAACCCTGGTCCGCATCCCCTTTGCTTGAGCAGGTTCGTGCGCGTAGTGGGGATATGAGCCAAAGTTCGGGAGTGATTCTGGGGCCACTGTTCTAAAACAGGAAAGAGATATTCATGTGAATGTCCAACAATGGTGTTAGACAGTTAGTGACGTGGTGATAGGAAGGTAATGGCGCGGTTTCCCACATCGGGACTTCCTTTCAAGGCTCCCCGGTCTTTTGGAGTGACACCTTCCTTTCTTGGATCTTATGCTTCGGTCGGTGAGTATGGTTCGGTAAAGGCTGGCCAGGCCAATGGAAACAATCTTGACTCGACTGTGACCTTTCTTATATGATCTATTGACAAGATATTGACTAGCTGCAGGCTTGACTAGAAGATTGACTATGCAGTATTCAGATTTAAGAATTAGGCTTGAGATTACTGCTTAACCTATGAAAAAAACCGAAATTCTCTAGATCGGCCCAGAGCTGAGGCTTGAGATATCATACTTGAACTTGTATGGCCTGTGTTCTACTTTTCAGGCGAGCCCCGCTACAGAGTAAAAATATAAAATAATAGTTAACTAAATAAAAATAAATAAAAATAAAAAAAATGATCTCGACGTGCCGGAAGGGGAATCAATGCCAAAGGTAGGGCTAGAACACTGGTCTGAGCGGAGTTCCTCCTCCTATTCTTTCCACTCCAGCCTCGTCCCGTCCCGCGGGTCTCGATAGTTCTAATGGTCAATGAACTGTAAAGTGGGGGGGGGGCCCTATCACCGGACTTTGATGCAGCTGTATCACATGGCTTGGGCTCGGTGCGCCTCAGTGACCGACGCCCCTAATGTGTGACCAGGAAATAACCAACGTCCTAGGAGGAGCGCACAGGGCGGTGTGCCAGAATAGCTTTATCATACATATATCTTCAATGAGCCCTCTGGAAATGAAAAGTCAATCTCGTGGATAGATTTCAATTTTGTCTCCTCCATTATTATCATTCCCCGATTTAGATCATTCGGTGCTGTGGCAAAACGTCGAACAACCACCGCATGAGCATGGCTGGCGCCCAAAAGCAACACAGTCGTGGTGGTAAGAAGGAAGACGACAACGATGCATTGATGCGTTTGGTTAGTTGCCCCTTCAGCTTGATGGAACATCAAAGATCAGACCATAGAAAATCTTAACTGACCTCTCCAAAGCCCGACAAGGAAATTGCAGGATGCATCAACGATATTGGAATCCCGTTCACCTCGACCGACCTCGCGAATCCGAATCCGCAACATATCCAGATAGTCTTCGAACGGTTCGCGGAACTGCTCATGAATGTGACTCGAGAAACTGTCGAGCCAGGAATGCATGCAGCTGCAAACGAAGTTTGCGGAGACTATCCAGATATTTTTCCCAAGGAGACCCGTAACCTCATGGGGCTCCTCATTAGAATCCAAAAGCTGTTGTCGGAGGTATGTCACAACGAACGCCTCCACAAGTGTTGGCGAAGAAAATTAAAATGCACGCAGTGCGGTATTAACGACTTCACTTTCACCGACCTGAACAAACCAACCCATGATCGACTTGTGAAGGTCTTTTCCTACCTTATCAACTTTGTCCGGTTCCGTGAATCGCAGACTCCGATCATTGACAAACATTTAAACGATACTGAGGAGATGAAAACGCGCATCCAAGAGCTCTCTGCCAAAAACAAGGAGATGCGACAACGCCTAGCAAGATCGCAACAAGAACAGCGGATAAAGCAGCCGGAATTACACGAAAAAGTGGCACGAAACGACGAGCTCAAGGCCCGGCTTTTAGATTTACGTCGTGAGCAATCGCAGGTAGCGGAAAATATTGATCATATCAAGTACCAGCGAGCACGGAGGCAGCAACAGCTTGAAGAAAAGACACAGAGATTGGTTCGAACTCGGCGTGAAGCTGAGAGGCTGCAACCTTACGCTTTGGAATCTGCGGTCACATTGCAGTCATTATTGAGTGAGCTAGCCGGAAAAATTAGGCGGGAGAAAAGCCAGATTGATGGATTGCAAAAACGAGCACGAGAATTGCAGACCTCGTCAGAATTGTTCACAGTGGCCTCAAATAATGTCCAGACATGTGTCACGCTACTTGAGGAAATATCCACCGAGATGCAGAAGGAAGATGAGGAAAAATCTCGCGCCGCCCGGAACAAGGAAGCTATTTCAGATCAAGGTGCCAGTGTACGAGATATTGAGCAGACAGAGAAACTCCTGCAACGCCAACTAGCTCACTGGGATGAACGAATTGGACACCTTCATAAGAATGCCCAAGAAAAGGCAGAACTTGCACAGACCAGGATGGAAGAACTTCTAAATGTACAGCAACAACTCCGAGAAGAACGTGCAGAGAAGCAAATTCCTATGGAGCAAATTCGAATCCGCACTGAGCGGGCAGAGAAGAAGGTACGTATTTTATGCCTGTTTGCATTCGAGAGACATGCTGATTCATCGAACTTCCTATCTAGATGGAGGATCTCAAGGAGAACATCGAGAGCGAGATCCAAGCAGCAAACAGCCGGTATCTCCAATTGGCATCACGTATTGAGCTCTATATGACTGAGCTAGAACCGCTACTGTGAGGCATCAGTCATTGTAACCTCCGTTTAAATTCAAAAGTTCGGCCTGAGACTCAAAGATCCCCGAAAGAATGTTCATATTCATGGATTTTCATCATGTTGCAGTGTTCTGCTCTTGTCGTCCATCAGTATAAGCTTGTCTTTTTTTCATCAAGGGTCTCCATCAAAGCAAGTTGTTTCATGGATATATTAGGTCCGGCCCAATTTCATTCATCACAAATTCGCGCCGAATAGTTTAACAAGGGAATCTGAGTATCCCATAATCGGTTTTCCCACTTAGTACTAGGAAGATTTACGCCATAAACATATTCACCGAGGAGCAAATCTCTCTCTACTCGCGAGGCTGCTATGGCGGTCGCGGCTAAGGCTCTGAATAGCCCTTGACCCGCAAGCTCTGTTGTAATAGTAAACGCTACGGCATCTCGTGATTGAAGCAACTCATCTCCAACAGCGATAACCAACTCAGGCGGAAGGTCAAGAAGCCTCATCTGGTCTAGATTCTGGCACTTGAAGGAATGCATGCTTGGGTAGGCGGTACTTTGTCGCCCAAATGACCAATGTCTTTTGATGTACAGTATGAGAAAGGAAAACAAAGAAACGAAAAGACACAAATCGGTACATGGTTCGGCCTTTTATCTCTGGTAAGGTAGATCAATTAATGAACTGGCATTCTCTGGGAGGTTATAAATCTCTAATTCTTTCCAAAACACACGATCAAGACGTCAACATGAAATACTAAGAGAAAATTTTGTATGTTCTAGGTTGTCTTATATGATTGTCAGCATAAGTCGTAAGGCCAGCTACAAGCACCAGTACAAGAAGTCATTGATCAGGCCAGGGCGGAGATCACAGTGTCACAATTGAGTTTTCCGGAAGGACATCTCCTTCATGATGGAAAGTCCTTCATGATGGAAAGTCCTTCATGATGGAAAGTCCTTCAATTCCCAATATCAATCCCACATCCAACCCTTTTTCTTAAAAGAAGTAAATAATTCATCATTCTCTTTTTGAGTAAGGGGCTGCCAGGTCAAATCTGGAAAGTTTTCTCGGCAGATTTTGAGCCATTCTTCAGATCCTAAGGACATCCGGAGTAGCAGCTGCGGTGGGCATCGAAAAAGCACATGATTTCTTTCCTCCGGTGTTTCTGCCTTGGCAGCGATGCAGAAAAAGAAGTCATCGGGCTTTTCAGTGCCAAAGCAAAATTCGTAGCATTTAGGACAATTTAAGATTTCGTATGGAATAAGCTCGTAGAGATCTCTCTTTCCGACCCCAATATCGTAGAGAATTTCTTTCTGGCGAAGCAACCGAGCTTCGATCTCCTCCTTGCTTGCGGAATCGTATGTGACATTCCAGAGAGTGCTTAGCTTTTCTGGAAGCCAGGTATTTCCCAGAAGACTTCGGACACGCATTCGCAGGCGGAAATCCTCTTTCACTTTCTCTTGAAGGAGGTGGACAGCCGTATGCGATCCTAAAGGATCCCGAATAGCATCCTTTAAGGCCGTGACAAGATCCTCCGATGGTTCGCGAACTTCCCCAAGAGCAGCATTTGCAGGCAAAGTCTGCGAGGCGCTTGAAAAGGAGGGCATCGTATTGAGTTCAGGTGATTTTGAGATGAAGAGCTGAAAGGGGGACTTGTAAACGCAGGCAAATTGGCTCAGAATTTGGCTAGCTTTACCTTCCAGCTCTCGCCCAAGTCGTTCTCTGGGATACTGAATGATAAGAAAACTGAATGATTGGAATACCTAAACCCTGAGGGCTCTCTCATTTAATTCGTTTGCAGGATTTTCATTCATGATCTTGTGGGCCTTTCTATTGGCCGTCAAGATGCCAGGAGCGCGAATTTGTCCGTCTTCTATATCCAATAGCAATAGGTATGTAACCGCCAGGTCTTTCCACTCTTGAGTCCTCACGCTCAAGTGCTCAGATGCATGTGTGTGATTGCAAACTGCCATACTGCAGGCCACGTCAGCAGGAAACTTAAGTTTGGAAGTTCCTGGGCCCTGTGGCTCAAATCCTTGCTCCATGCCAGCACTGATTGCCTCTACAAGCATGCTAGAATAGGCTGTAAGTGACATTATCTTCTACCTTCTCGATGCTTTCTCCTATAGCCTACTCGCGAGTGGCCCAAGGTCCTAGTCTACGTGCAAGTCCCCAAACATGGAAAAACATAACATCCTGCACTCATCCAGTCCCTGAGTCGACCCGACTGATACTGGCTTAAAGTATCAGCCCCTCACATCTTATTTCATGAAAGACTGTTGGAGATAATGGGCCGGAGTCTATTCACCATCACGAAAGTTTTGTCGAGCCGGGTGAAGGGGGCATACGCATGCCCTTGCCCTAAGATGACCGAACGAATTTTGCGAATTTTTTGACTTTTCCCAAAAAGAAAAAAACAAAAGGCCGTCTTGGTAAAATTCTGTTCTATGAATGATGCGTCTTTGAAAAGTACCCACACAAAGCAACATTCGGGCGGAATTTGGGAGAGACATGATGTTGAAGGAGGGTATGCATTCTACGCTATACTACTTTAGGTAAGATTCACTGGTCTTCATGGCAAGAAACAGCCAAGGAAGAGGCAAGATGACCTCACTTTGGTCTTTGTGTTCAAAAGAATTTGATCCTCGGCTATTTCTTCAGTCTACGAGAAATCAAGACAAGCCGCGGGACTATCGACTCGTCACAGCCAAGACCATCGAGATGGCATCTGAGCCAAGAATGACATCAATTTTTGGCGGTTTTGATAATACGTGGAGTCTGCGAGCGCTATGAATCATGAAGCCAGTGTATCATGCCAGTGTATCTATGTTGAAAGTCATTCAATTCATTAATGTCAATGAGAGGATGACTTACAATGGAGGTTAAAGACTATGAGGCTATCAGGTTTTAAGCGGGATTTTTCATTGAAATATCAACAGATGACAATCTTATTAAAAACTCGCAGTACATGTGCCTTGTCATTCGGCAGAGCTTGAAGGATGTGCTTGTCTCTCCCGTCTTAAAAAGTCGCTATTCGCTGACTCTCGTGACCACTCCATCCACAATGTTCCCCTCCAGTGGGAGCGGCTCAAGATCAGCATGAGTGTATCAAAGTCTATATCACCATTGACAAGAAGACTTCCGTTTGTTACTGTTCCTCCGGTCATGATATGAGTGCGAGTTATATCCGTCTGTGGGCTACGTTTTGCGTCACCATTCATAAATAGCGATTTGCCGCTGATTCTGGTGCTGACGCGACCTTTCTTAATATCCGTGACGGGTTTTATTGTCTCTTTTGGTACACGAGAACCGGAGAAAGATTCGTTCAGTTCATGATATAAATTGTAAATGAAAAATCGAGTTCTGGCTGATAGACTTGGTACCTTTCTCATCCAGGAGCGCATTGATCATGGTGGTCTCGGTGCTATCTGACAGGCCTGAACAAAGCATGAATAAAAAGTTGGCAAAATCTCAGGTACGCAACATACCTTTACTAGCAGTGTCATTTTCTGCATGGTACGCCTGGAGATCGAAAATGCTTGCAGATAGTGGGCCGAGTTGCGAAGCACGCTTTTCAGTCATTCTATCATTAGCCTTGTGATTCAGGACTAAAAACATCAAACACAGTCATACCGTGTGATCGTGCTCTTAGTGGGAGTCCTCGGAGTTTGGGTTGGTGGCTGCTACTTGAGCTTCGATCTGCTGGATCCCGTCTTGAGACGGTTTTATATGCTGACGAACCATTTGGAAGGAGCAGTTGAATAGCAAAGCTCTAGTCTGAGGGGATGTTGGACTGAGGGTGAGCACTTTCGTCCCGTGGTGTTGAAGAGTGTCGGTCAGTCGGGGTTGGGGGGAACGGCAATCCTACCAGTGACTTAGTGCACAGGCTTAGGCCACATTGATAATCAAACAATCCTGCCCAATGGGACTTGTCTCGGGAACGGGCCCACATCGTCTTCTGTTGGCTGTGATAGGGTCAGCCCGACTAATCTAGTCTACACGTAAAATCACATTCTTACCACTTCCCAGGCTGTTATGACCAGTACACCGTTCCGAGAAGGACTTATGCCCCTTTCTTGGCCCGGTAATCAGCCCCAGCACCCATATATGCATCTTGCCAGTATTCCTGCCTATTTTGATAATGCCGGCTTGATCCAATCGCAGACGACCCGTTCTTATTATCTCGAATGAAGGTCATTGGGACCCGCATCTGCGTGGCAAGATCGGCCTTTTGGTATCGGCATACCTGATTAATACGTCCGAAAACGTATTCACCTACGGACATGGTTTCATGCGTGGCTGAAAGCATCCCTGGTGGTCATGGCCCCGTGAGCAGGTTCGTGCGCGCAATGGTTGACATGGATCAAATTGAAGAGTGATCATGGGACCCTTGCTCTTAAATAAGAAAATGATATACCTGCGAATGTCCAACAATGTGGTCCGGTAAGCAGTGCTGTGGGGACACCAAAATTGAGGGAGATAGCGCAGTTTTCGACGTCGGGACTTCCTTTTCGGGCTCCTCGGTCTTTTGGAATCACAGTTTCATTTCCCGGATCAATGCTCTGGCTAGCCGTTTGGTCTCACTTAGGGGTGGTCTAGGTTCGGTGGTCTAGGCTCTTGAGGATACGTACAAACAGGGCGGAACTATTCAATTGTCACCCATGAGAATTCACCAACGAAGGGGCTTGCGCTCCGATTGCCTTGCTGAACTGAATGTGTAGTATGAAGCTTGGAATGCGCTTTATATAAAGTAGAGTCACTAGAAAGTCAAATTGAATCGAATTCCCACGATTGAACTTGCATGCGCTCCTGCTTTCCATTCCGGCGAGCCTAGCTACAGCCGAAGCCATCTCGGCAGAACACCTATTTGACTCATTCTGTGAAACGTTTTGTGTATGTCATTCGACTGAGTCGACCTGGAATTCACTGATTTCTTTTACAGCATCTTACGAAATCTTTGACCCTTTGTTTTAAGACAACATACGATGTTGCACAAGCCCACGAAGCGGGCGAAAGGAAGATTTCCTGACATCGAAAATGGTCTCCTCACTTGGATGAAATCTCAGCAGAAATTGGGTTTTATCCCAGCGACTGTGACATAAGAAAGAAGGCTTTGGATTTGCGTGATTCTCTAGGATGATCAGAAATGTATGATGAGAAAATTCGCTCTGCTGCTTGGATGGAGAGATTCAGGGTCAAGATAGTCCAGCAATGAAATACTTTATCTGCTGTAGGCAGTGCTTTCATGGCTGCATCTCCAGAAGTCTTCACGCGTTCCAGACACTTTTCATGCCTTATTTCTCAGACCTACATCTTGCTATTCAAGAATATGGCGAGATTTCGTGACAACAGTGTCGCTGGAAGTCGAGAAAGACTTTGCGAGACGCTTCGTTGCATAGTGCTTGCATTCTTTAGATTTTGAAGACTCTTCTTCGGCCATCATGTGTTGTCATTAATCTTTCGTATTCCGAAGCCCATCATCTGGAAATGCCGGCCCGGTACTGGTGGAGGATGCGTTGGAATCGTTTGTGACCTCTGTCCACCTCCCGCCCGTCTAGCAAGATGAAGTGCAGACCGAGGCAGTCTTCGCCTCAGTGGTCTGACTTCGATTGGCTAGCTCAGCAAGTCTTTCCGGGTAGGATTGAGTGGGATGAATCTCCTCAATAGAGAGTTCCACGGCGAAGAAATGTCTACTGTGACCTGTTGGTACCGGCCCTCGACAATTACCAAACAGCCTCATATGAGCATCACCCCAAGAGCTGGATCAGATGGGGTTTGAACGGTGCAAGATATTTTGATTCATTCGCAATGTAATCTGAAGCAGCTTCGATTTATCGAACGTCGTTTCGAGTAGGCTCGAGCAGGGGGGTCTCGTGAATAGATGTGGGGACAAAGAGAGGTAAAAGCCTAGAACCATGATCTGATCATTAGCCCGGATGGCAGGTCATTAGAGAGAACTAGACATACCACCATGTATAAGCATGTAGCATGGCCGGAGGTTTACAACTGTAGGCAAGAGGCGACCACCCTAGACACGTATTGATTTTGCAAGTGTCGTGTCGGAGAACGCTCGAGCAGGAGCCGATGTGAAGCAATGTGAGGACCGAGAGAGGAAACACTGGTATTATAGTCTGAAAATCAGCTGAAGTACGTATGACAATCTATCAGAGTCAGGTCTACCACCGGGAATCAGCATGATGCAGGACCGGGGGGTTGCACTCGAAGACTAGAAGTATTATCAAGCATCGACGTTGTGATTTTATTTGAAGTGAGCAGGGCGTATTGAATGAACCATGATTTCAACATCTCACAAGCAAGGGAATTATGTCGGCTGATGAAATTGGTCGAGATGATGGAGAAGCGACGTTGGTCTCCAGGAAGGGAATGGAAAAGAAGTAGCACCTGCGAGCCCGGATGGTTCCTACTTTCCCACCCATCACTCCCCTCCACTACCCCCTACCATCCCAGGATCTATTTTCCTACAAACTATCAGCACAATGTCATTTTCACAGAATACCTACCATCACCCTCCTGTGTCACGATCTTGATATAGTATGACTCGCTCAGCTTATTGACTTATGTCATTGTCTGAGCGGGGGATGCTGGGCCCGGTCGCCTACGACGAAGTGATTTCAGAATTTGTCTGTGAGCAGTGAGCACTAGTTCTCGAGGAAGCTATATGCTTTATTTCAACAACTCCGAATAATTGGCAGTCAGGATTTGAAGGCCGGTTTTTGATGCCTTCATGGCCAGGTTGTATCTGACCTGGTTGATTGCCACAGCTGTCTTCTGTCAGGGCACCCATTCAGCTTTAGTTCACATGGTACGTATTGAGCTTCCGCAGAAGTCTTGACTTTACTGAGCCACAGAAAGCTGAAAATCTGATCTAGCACTTCACGCACATCCTCGTACTTTTCACGTTCCCCTTTCCAGTCCACTTCCGACGATCGCTGAGCTCACACGTCCTTCAGAAGACTTGAAGCTCGAGATCAGCACAATCGAGTCACGACGGCATATTTCTGCTAGCTGGAAATAATGGAGGTATCATCACTTACACTCTTTTCCCTTTCCAGCTCGACTAACCTGCAGCTGCAGCCCATTTACGGAGTCGATCGATTCTATTGAGGCAACAAGCAACACCTCGGGCTCTGTATTCAGTAATCTTGTCCCTTGACTGATACTGCCAATTCTAAGTTTCCAAAAGCTTCTTTCGCACGACACGATCTACTTACACCAATCCGCCCGAGTGTATTTCGCAGCAAGCCTCCGCGTGAACGCCGTGTACATCATCTCGAAGTCGCCGACTTTTACCAGATTTACAATCGTGGCACACCGTGTCTTTCTGATAGAGATGAGCACCGATTCAGAGTTCCTGGCCATACAAGAATTCCACAAAGCACACCAAACTTGCTGTTAAAAACGAGGATATTGAGCTAGCCCGCTTTGGTCTTTCAGTGACACATTTACGAGAATAAGGAGGAAAATACATTACTGGGTATAAGCAGATTCAATTGACGTCGTTGAAGAAAGCCAGAACTTGGATCCATGAAGCTCAGCAAGGCTATTCAATGAGCATTCATGACCCTAGAGCTCAAATACGCTAATATCTCTGCATTCCCTAGTGCAGTTCCAGCGGTCCTATCTCTAGCCCGACATGTAATACCTTCCGGGATCGTTGATTTCATCCCAATCCCAAGTGTCTTTGGCAATCATCGACGGCCATTGAAGTAGCATTCTGCGCGGTGGAAACTGGTCATACATTGGAGGGAACTGCTGCTCCTCTTCGGGAGAAGGCGGAAAACCCTCCCAGGTCGCTCCAGGTGGGAAACTCGGATCGGCATATGCCAAGTGAGCAAGATGGTGGTAGGGAATGGTTCTTCCAGGCAAAGCTTCCTCGAAGCTCCACGGCTCGAGAGAGGAATGACCATTGAATACATTCATTTGTCCTCTTTCTTGGACGGGCAACTGACAGCCACGTGAAAGCCTGCCCTGTGGTTGTGGAGCTATCTCAGAGATCAATAAAAGATCTATTGCCTGACGTGCAGTCATTTATTCATGTCCAAAGAGAACACCACTTCCATCCTTTGTCAGGCTCTGCAGGGCCGAAATAGAAGTACAGAATACAAAATCAGTGACTTTTTGAACAAATGCCCGCTTTGGGTCGTTGTTGTGAGATCTTCTAGAACTGGACGATCTCAAGTGGTATGGTATATTGTCGTAGACGTCAATTAAGCCTCGAATGGTTTCAGGAGTCAATTTAAAGCCCATCTCATTCCGGGATATCATGTCGATGTGTACGACACGAGCTTGGATAAAGCGGATTTCTGATTGAGTTGCTTGTTGCATCCCGACGTCTTTCCTGGCTCTATAGAAAGCTTGAAACAGATCGGTCACGCACAGTGTCCATATGGCGGTGTCGGGTGCTAGTATCATATTCAGCAGAATACCCTGCCCGGAAGAGTCCCTTCGCCGGTGGATCCTGCATTTTGCCGGCTTTGCGATAGCTATGATCTTCGCCAGCCTTTCACTAAACTCAGGTTTGAGCACTATGAGCGGTTTGTCACGAAAAACAATGCCTTTCACTGAAGCCGGGAGTATAGTGCGTGAAATGGCCGGCCTGGGGTACAGTGGGATGAACCTCGCTCGTCGCGTCAAGCGGGCTGTATCCCCTGCATCAGTGGCCCGTGGCAAACTCATACGACGCAATCAAATAGGATTGTCAACCTGGCTAAGTCAGTTCAGAACTAGTCTGGTTGTCTCATTACCGAGCTAAAGAGTGATTCTGGGCCCCAGCAGCTAAAGCGATCCACTCTTCCAAATTAGATACCGCTTATTGGCTTGTTCCGCCAATGAGTCTAGCCTCGTGCCTCGCATTCAATTGCCTAGAAGGGATAATTCATTCTTTTCAGCCATGTTGGATTTTCCTCCAAATATTGAGCACATCAACAAGGGATGTCGATATCGACACCAGGTCTCATTGGAAAAGATCAAAGCATTGCAGCGGCGTGACCTTATCGCCAGTCAAGGCAATCCTGGAGATACTCAGACTTGGAAAAAAAGACTCGCACCCGGTGCACCGAAGGCAAGAGTGGTATCAAAGGCCGCGGAAACATATTCACGTGTTTCTGAGGACCGGCGAAAAGAGTCAAGATCAACCAGAATGTATTTGCCTCGTATGAGCCGTAAGTACGGCAGCCAAGTAATGTCCTGGACAAGTAAATTTTCACAAAATTCGTCGTATTGAAAGTCTCTGTAATCTCCAGAGCTTCTACGCTCCTGGGAACCGGGTGTGGGCTCGCATATGGTGGCTAATGCACCAGGGCTTCCATTTATAGGCCCCGGGCCCCTTGGAGTATCTTTGATTACCAAATCATTACAGATGGGTGCGCGCCCATTTCAATGTAAGATACACCTGCGAGTGAATTGCGTGTGCCGATCGTGGTGAAGAGCCATGTCAATCTCTTCCAGATTGCCCCCTCTTTGGGGCTCTTGCAGTGAGTATCATCACAGTAATGCATACTCCATTCCAGTGGCACCTTGTTCACGCTCTTATTCTGCCACATTGTTTGTCACTTCAATGTCCAAATTTGCATCTTCGTCATCAAAACATGTCCACTATACCCCCTTCACTTCCCCCGACCTACCGCTCGCGAGGTCTCGAGTCCCTTCCCTGGGTTATTTTATTTGAAATTGCTATATTGCTGGACGACCGTGATTTCGTCCACCTAAGCCGTCTTAGCAGGACGCTGTATGCCTCTCTCTGGACTGATCCCATCGCACGCAAGATCGTTGAGGTCAAAAGACCACCCCCCCTTTCGGAAGCCGAAAGCTGACTCTACACAGAACTTTCTCCCGTTTAGCAAAGAGGCCCACTGGGCCAAATATCGGAAAGACTATTCCTACCAGAAAGCTATTAAACATCGTTTAGAACACACGAATCAGTCGCTACGGCGGCGCCATATTCCGTGGCAATCTTAGCCTATGGAACCGACTTTCTCTACAATCAGGGGATGCTTTGCTACCGGATAGAAAGCGAAATCCGTCTGCTGGATGCGCATGCTGTGGAAAAGCGGGAGCGCGTCCTGGGCTTATCCGTGGCTCTCCAGAGCGTGAGCCCAGAATCGATGGGCGCGGATGCTGTAGGCCGCGTGTCGTTGCTACGCTACGCAGATAACATCCTCGTCTTTCGGGTTCACGCCGAAAATGATCGAGCCGATAACAATTGGGCCGGTGACGATCAATCCGAGAATGATTTGTTTGATGATGACCTATCCGAAGATGATCTGTTTCAGCCCGTGAATGATCGGGCGCTACGCGACTTGATCGTAGTGGTTGACATGACCAGTCATCTGATCCGCTTCTCAAAGCAAATCCCTTTGAAAACTCCCGTTTTTGTCCGGCAAAGTGATACCTATCTTTGGTATGGGATTTTCAGAGCGACCGATATCTCAAACGGTAGATGGATTGTCTATGGTGTCGACCTTCGTGCCGCGGAGCCAGAGCCGATCGAAACTTTTCGTATACAGGCTGCGAACGGTGCTCTTGACCAATCTGTCTGTTTTGAGATGTACAAAAAGCATCTCTATGCCGTATCTATCCAGGATGGAGAACTATTTCTCGTACTAGCATTGCTTCTGCAGTGCTCCTGGCGAGAAGAGTGATAAGCTTCGTGTTTGCAACAGAAGTCTGTGGCGCCGCGAGCATTCCGAAGGTTCCATCAATGAGTGGTGGGCCAATATGTCAATCCGGACAGATGAGATCACTGGCCGACCGGTCATCTTGGAATGCCGTCGAGAGTGGGCCGGCAACAGACGCGAGCACCATCGCACCTACTACTCACAGCCACTCCCAATACCAGAGGAATTCCTTGCTGAAACTGGCGAAGAAGCCGCAACGGACGAATTTGAGAGCGATCCTCTCGAATCTGAGCTGTCAAACCGGCACCGCAATGAGCACAGGCCAGCAAAGCGACTGCGTCATGAATTTCATGCGGAATATGAGCCAGCCGACAGCCCAGAGGACCGACAAGAGTTCATTCGTGCACGCACAAGACATTGTAGCTACAATCTAGCTGCTTGCACCTATATTGATCTTGTCAACGATCCACTACCCAACAGAGTGCGGCTCCAAGAACGTCTCCGTCTCCGCACCAGGTCTCGAAATCATGAGGATTTCATTGATGAGAAAGACGCACTACTTCCGCACAACCTACTTTCGAGCACCACAAAATGCAATGAAGGCGAAACCCCCATAACAGGCTTGAAAAAACGCTACGACTCTCATCGCACCTACCTGTGGCCTCCAGAGAACGCGTCAGTCGAGCTTCGCCGGCTCCTCTGTCCTCCCAGTTCCTTCAAGACACTGCGTGCTGTCTCAGATGAGCGTTCCATGGTCTACTCTGTACGATATCCAAATCTACCAGCAAACTATCGGGCTTTGGTTTTAGTCAGCTTTGATCCACAGATTGGTTTCAGCTTTCTGTCAGCATTGGACGACACAAAGGATTTTCACAAGAATCATCGATTTCCCTCGCTGGCGATGATAAAATCACCGGAGCCGTCGCTCCTGAGAGAGACAAACCCGCTTTATGAGCACATCCAGTGGGGAGATTGGTTACGATGACGTGGGTGATAGGCCGAGGTTCATGGACACTTCAGCTGTGTAAGATAGACAATGTGAACTATAGAAGCTTCAGTAATGACATATCTGAATGATCGATAGCCTATTTTCTTGAAAAAAGACCATCAGAAGGCTTTTAAGCTCAATTGCAGCGCTGAAAATTCTTACCATTTGCGTTCCAGAATTGGTGCTGAGCTGCCGCTCCGTGCACCACTTGACGACACTATAGCACGCTATACGACTAGGCAACCGCGGAGAATCGGCGGGATCAGGCACCAAATTATCGCGCCCATGACAATATGACTCGGGGGTCTTCTATATTGTCGAGTGAGAGGGCGATGAGTAGGACTGAATCAAGCAACAGCATCGCGGGTACTTGCCAAATCGGGATCTCTTCTGGGCAGACCAGAGCCGATTGGACAAGGAGTCACCTGCCGAGTCTCCATGAATGTGCGCATGTGATCATTTCAGCTGGTACGTGCGAAGGCTAGGAGGCTTCCACGACTTTCTCAAGACTACTGAGTCGGGCCCGGGGCGTAGTGGCTTCGGGACCCTCCTTCTGGATTCTAGAATCCACCTCCTAGACCGCTAACCATCAAAGCTTCTACCCCTACCACGAGATGCATTATCTTCGTCGCCATGACAATGGTCAGGCGCCTTTGTATCACCCTGGTGTGCGTTTGACCGCAACTGAAATGAATGCCCCTATTCATGACCTACAAAGCCTAGCTCCGAATTTATTGTGAGACTTTTAGATCAGATCAGTTTTATTATTAGGATGCTTCTTCGCTTCATGTATCTGTGGTATACACAATAGCTTTCAACACGACACAAGAGTTTATCATGAAGAGTTCAAGTTAACATCTATAAGAACACTGCATGCAAGAAGCGCTCCACTTCCAGCACAAAATACCCCTCAACCCATTGTACGACTTCAATGGTAGATTTTGGTAGTGGTGTGAGTGGAGCCTTCGTTTTTATGTAACGACGTCTGCGCAGAAAACTTTTGGATTTTAAAGGCCGCTCCGGAAACGGGCTGGGTTTCGCAAGCCGGTCTGATTTCGGAAGTCTAGCCTCCAAGAAGTCAAGGAGACGGCAAAGCTTCGCAGGGGACGAAGACTCACCGGTGATCATCACGAATTCAATGGCGACGCGATTCATTTGCAGGAGAGATTCACGATCCTGACTCAGACGATGAACAGCAGCGTGACGAATTGCGGACACTGGTCCTTTCATTCTCAGTAGAGCGCGACTCGCTTGGCGGAAGGCACTGTGCTGTACTCGGGTCTTATTCCTTGCCAAAAATATGAAGAATCTGTGTAGCTCTAATTCTTCTGGGCACGTCCACCTGTTCATGAGAGACTTCACCGGCAGCCATTTGTGAGCAAACCAAAATGCATGGAACTCAAGGTGTTGCTGTATGGCTTGGAGGATTCGATTTTGGGCGCGAAAGGGAATTTTTCCTGATCGTATTCCCAAGAGTGAAGAGAGACTCTCCAGAACTGTGATTCAAGTTCGTTAGTTAATATTCGTATTGGCAAAAGATGTAGATTTGGAACTCACTCGAGATGGCATCGATCTTTCTTGGGCGAGACATTGTGATTGGTTTCGATGTACTGGAGAAGATGGAGAGAAGTTAGCAAGCACAATGAATTTATTGTGGCTGCTCACCGTTGCTTCGCAGGACGTGATGATGTGGCTGCGTTGTATAAAGGGCTGTAAATATGATCTCGATTTGACACAGATGATGCAAGTACGCTGCGTTTACTTCCTGGCATATCTTGTCTCATAGGTTGTTGGTGGTTGTGTTGACTTTGCAGAGGACAAAAATTAACACTGATCTGCAAATGATGGGCGCGGCAAAGACCCCTGGACCACTGAAGCCTGACCGTTCAGGGTTTGAAAATGAGTCCGTCGTGCCCTGACTATCAAGGTGTGATGGTAGCGTTGCAATATCAGGAGATCGACCAGAGATCGACACGGACCCAGCTGACGTGCCATGGTAGCAACGAAGGCTCTTCGGAGTTGGACTCTGCATGGGCGGCATTGTTGGGATCAACGAGATTCTGCCCTCCCGCATCGAGCCAGGATCAAGCCAGGACATTGACATGCTTCTCGGACGAGTATGACGACTCTGCACAGTCCAGAAATGACTGCTTCTCGACTGCTACAAGACCACTCTTTTTTGCTAGCTCGTAAAGGTAAAGTGCAACTGCTGAAAGAGAGCGCTCGTTCAATCAGAGAATCTTTGGATGCTGCCCAAGTTAGTTCAAAAGCACCATGGAGCAAAGGCAGGGTTCCGTGGTACTCCTTTGAATGGTTCTGCAGTACTCATGGTGGGGCCGCGCGGTTCTGAAACGGGATCGACGCTGCCCGAAATCTCGGCTTTGGCTCTATTTGTCACCCCTTTCTTTGACGATCTATGATTGGGACATATTTGCAGGAAGATGAGAGCCATAATATTCCCGAGTGTTCCTACTTCAAGTCTTCCACCGGGAAAGTTCGACAGACCCATCTCTGTTGCGGTAAATGGCCTAATTGTGTGACGAGTGTGGTTCGAGTCTAGCAGAGCTTGGGTCCCAAATCCAGAGTGGAGAATTGGAGGGCCCAGAACGGAATGATCGCTCGGGAACACAAAGTCTAAATGACACGTGGTATTTATCCCATGGGTCAGGGTCCACGACGAACGACTCATTTTTCAGACCGGAAACTTTTTGGTATCCTGTTTCTTGACCCAAGTGTCGCGGTTTTTATGAAAGGCCGCGTAGTAGAGGCAGAGCACAGTGCTGGGATATCTATGAGAAGTTTATTAGGGAAGTAAATTTCACGTTCCCAGTCTGATACCGGTTGGAATTACTACGACGCGCTTATCCGGTCTTTATTGCTCTTCTATGACCACTCCCTTGATGGCTGACACCACAGCTCACAGTCGGTCGCAGTTCTCTTCCAAATAATCACGAAGGTCTTGACCCGGCTACCTTCGTAGTATAAGTAGCATTCGCAATGCTCGATACCTGCAGTGCACCTCACTGAGAAGGGTGCACTAAACTTCAGATATCTTCTCTGATCATGAAAACTGATCAAGTCATTGCCACAGAAAAACTTGACACTCGGTTCGCAACGCATCACAGCGATCGGGTTGTTCCGCAAACCTCACTCTTTCGGAGTGACGCCCGCTCTCCTTCAACCCTGGTCTAAGATCCAGTCGTTTCGAGCATTTTACTTGATACTACTCACTGGGTTCTCAGAAGGACGTAAACAAGGACAACATGCGCTGCAGAGGCTTTTCATCGTTGCGCGACAATAATTTCAATGGTACCTATGATTGCACGTGCATAGCCGTTGCGTTTAGCCCTCTTTGAATGCTCTATTGTAATACATATGTCGCAACTTGCAATACAACTGCGTTGCATTGCCACAGCGATCATATCCATGGTTTCCATTTCATCATTTCTGGTACCCAGTCGCCAGTGTAACCCACCGCAGGAAATGGTCAGTCTAGATGATCGATTTGATGGAACCAATGGCTGGTCCCCCTGGCAACATGAGACCAACCACGGATCCATGGGGGGTGTGTCTCCTGGCCAAAGATTTCCATGTAACTTTTCCAATGCCCTCCCAAGTCAGTGGCCGTTTCTATGAATTTGCGCAGGGGGTTTCTGTGAAGAGACGTAGCCGACTTGACATAAAAGGCGCGAGATTTCCGGCCCAAAAAAAATCAGGACTTTCCTCCTCACACTCCCGTGTGTCATGGTTTCCATCTCTTGTCTGCAGGCTTGGGGGTCTCCGTGGCCACGGGTCCGCAGTACAAGCTCTGCGTCACCAAACATGCTTCGCAGGATAGGTCTGCGTTATCAATATGCCTCGCAGGAGGGCGCTGCGAGAACAAGTCCACCCCGCAGGATAGGTCTGCGTCATCAATATGCCTCGCAGGAGGGCGCTGCGAGATCAAGACTACCCCGCAGGATAGGTCTGCGTTATCAATATGCCTCGCAGGGGGGTGCTGCGAGATCAAGACTACCCCGCAGGATAGGTCTGCGTTATCAATAAGCCTCGCAGGGGGGTGCTGCGAGATCAAGACTACCCCGCAGGATAGGTCTGCGTTATCAATATGCCTCGCAGGGGGATACTGCGAGAACAAGCAACTCTAGCCAAGTGCAGGCACCTCTACGTGGTGCTAGGGACCAGTATTCAGCTCTCGCTACGCAGTTGAAGAAGCCAAGACCTGCCCAAACATCAATACTTCACCAGTGTAGGCTCGGGCCACGGGCGAACAGACTGGCAGTAGGGCCATGAGGGCGCATTCCAGGGCCCATTTTCGCTCCAAAATAGCGTTGTAAAGAGAACGAATAAACCCAGAATTTTGCTGTTACCGAATTCGCCGTGCATAGTAGTATCATGTCCAAAACCTGATCTCCCAAGATGTATACACAAGTAGAGTATGTATACACACACGTTCAGGCTGGTCGGCTCGGTCAAAGACCATCAGACGGCAAGAACGCATTATTCACGTCTGTATCACGGGTCAGGAAACCCACGATGAGTGTTGAGGTTGGCGTTGGCGGTGATGGGTAGATGCGGTGTGGTGACGGGCAGATGCGGTGATCCATAGTCCATGGTGGTAACCAGTCTGTTATGGTGATAGTTGACTGAGCGTCGTGAACCGTTGAGAGTGCTTAAACAGTTGACTGAGCGTCCGTAATCAGTTGAATGACCATTCGTAAACAAGTGAGGCTACTTTGGTAAACAGTTGAACTGCTGTGTAAACAGTTGAACTGCTGTGTAAACAGTTGAACTGCTGTGTAAACAGTTGAACTGCCGTGTAAACAGTTGAACTGCTGTGTAAACAGTTCAACTGCTGTGTAAACAGTTGAGCCTGTGCTGATAAACAGTTGAGTGAGCGTTGGTAAATAAACACTTGAGCCTGTTGTAGTTCAGAGGTGTGAATTGTCTTGTTTTTTATTTGAGAGGGAAGAATAAGGCTATATATACAACGAGAAGATCAAGTTGATTGGAAATCAACTTGGTTCTTCGTATACATACTTCGGGATTAATTCCGGTGGTTCGGCTTGGTTCCTGATCTGCACCAGCCTTATATCACAACAGAGCCTATTCGAAAAACAGTGACCAGCTTGGAACGGTGACTAGCTTGGAACGGTGACCAGCCTGGAAAACGGTGACCAGCCTGTAAAATAGTGACCAGCACTGAAAACAATTGTCAATGATCACAGTGTCGGCGCGTCGACGAGCAGACTGTCAATGCTGAGTCTGGACGCGTTGTCAAACGGAGTCGCTGGGGCGGTGTGTCACCCCTCGCGCACACTTTCGTCCGACTTAGGAAAAGACCCCACCCACATCACTGTATGTGTCTCGCCAAAAGCCGTTGTCAAGTCCTTCTGGAGGAAATAGAGTCATAGTATAGGGTCGGCAATTATGTAAAATTTGAAAGCTATGTCTTTCACTGAATTGGGAGGCCCTACACCAAGAATCCAGATGGCTGGAGCTTCCCGGTACATATTGTATACAGTACATGTATATATATATTGTAGCCGCACCTCCCCTCACCAATAAAGAAAATTATCTTTTTGAACTACAGATGCCATGACACCAAAGCCACACGCGTGACTTGTATATCTCTATGACCTCACAAAGACATGACCAATGAAGCCTACACCGGTCTGTTCTGAAAACGACAGCGATACATCATGATAATACTTGGGCTAAGTCAATTCGAAGTCACCACGTATGATACAAATATGAGACTAATGCTCAGCAACTCCACGGCCACAAATTTACTGTAGGTTCCATATGAGATTGAAGACAGCGACGAGCCTCATATTCGACAAATTGACACTATGAAAGTACAAGGTGTTTATACATTTTGTGAGCTGCCGTGCCCCATATCCTGACGAGGCTGCCGTAGTGCGACCATCGAACAGTATGGTATGCGTTTGTATTACCGATAGCCGTCACCAGTCCACGAGAAGAACACACCATTGAGGACTTACTCGTTTCGGGAGCTACGTAGGCGTAAGTAGCGTGCATAATGAGCCTTGCATCACCGGACTAGGGTCTGCCCAGCATGACGAGCAATTTTCTAAGAACTAGATGAAGCACCCAAAAACACTACGAAGGAACCTCTGAGTCGCTCGCTCTTCATCAGTCAGCAGCTCACGCGGAACATAAGATGTGCCTAACAAGGCAGGTCAAGGCCTTGTAGTGATCGTGCGTTGCGAGACATCAGCGACGCAGCATGCACGCTGTGTATCTGATGAGACATGACTGTGTGGTAGTTGAGATCTGTGATTGATGAGGTGGCCAGGAAGCGTTGTCATTACGCATGACCCGCGTTCAGCACGATGGCATGCTCAAGGACAAAGCCAGCAGAGCTTGCAGTGTTTGGATAAAGAGCAAACACACGCACACACGCGCTGAGAAGGGCCCGAAGCGAGCAAAGATGATTTCACGCAACCATGCAGAAATGTCCGCGACGGCGTAGACGTCACAGGGACTCGACAGGACGATGCAACGTGGACACACCGCATTCGCGTCTCACACCACACCACCGGGGCGCAACTCTCACTGTTGTATCTAAAT